TTAATGTGACATATAGAAGTAAATAACTGTGACATTTCACAGTAATAAAGAAGTATTTGGTTCATAACTGGATCGTATTGGGTAGTATTGGGTAGTATTGGGTGGTTTTGGGTAGTATTGGGTGGTATTGGGTAGTATTGGGTGGTATGGGCACGGACTTAGATCTAATCTAATTCCGTGGTATGGGGTAGTATTGATTCATAGTCACGGCAATTCGGTGAGGTTTTCGGCACCAAATCGCATATTTCCCGATAAAATATGGCAGATGGAAGTAAATAACGTCTACTACAAAGGAGATATTTCACAGTAATAAAGAAGTATTTGGTTCATAACTGGATCGTATTGGGTAGTATTGGGTAGTATTGGGTGGTTTTGGGTAGTATTGGGTGGTATTGGGTAGTATTGGGTAATTAGACGCGCCCCATATGTTCGTCCCTTTCATTCGAGGAAGTTCTTTTTCTTTTGATTTGTTGGTGCCGTCGTTTTTGATGATCATACCAAACATAAGATATCAAGAATTTTGCAGTGATTACAATTTCCTGATAACACCAACATACACAAATATTGTACTTTATTTCTCCCTTTTGGAAATTATCAGTGGTTAATTCCTGTAGGAACTCTATCTAAATCAGAGATATAAATCTCTGATTTAGATAGAATTCCTACAGGAATTAATAATCATTGGTATACTTGGCCTACAGATAATGTTTGCTCACCAGCTATTTGACCATTGGCCTCTTGTTTTCAATGTATTGAAAACTACCAGGACAGTATTTAATTGGTTAATTTAATTTGAAGCAATTAATTCCTGAAGGACTTTCATATAAAAAAAAGGTCTGTAGCAGGTACATGAACACTTCATGAGAATAGCTATCTTCCTTTTACACACAAATAAATGGTCATTTGGTGGATTAACCATAAGTCCAGGTAAAGATATATAAATATATGTATCATCAATGCAGCCTTCCAGTAGCAGTCAAGCTGCCCAGCTGCTGTCACAGGCACCTGTCACAGGGAGGTCTACATTTGTTGGATTTGACACAATGTCTGGTTCCCCAGGCTATGTCCCTGCCAGTCAGGCCCTGGAGGATGTTGACAGCAGTCTAGATGCTGACTTCAGACTTGTCCTTCGCAAACTCACCAAGAAGGACAGCACCACCAAAGTCAAGGTACTTTATACATTTTGTTCCAGAAAATATAGTTAAGTATGTTCATTGCCAGAAGTAATTCAATAAATTAAAACTTATCAGTTTTCAATACTGTGTCCCAGGTTCAACTTTTGAAGAAGTGGAAACAGTAGAAAACAAAATATTTTACTTCATATAGAAACTGAAAATGTTTTATTGCATTTACAATATATTTACTAAAGCAGAATCCTCAGATGACACTTTTTATCTTAAGAGTACCAGGTAATATGAAAGTAGTTAAAAATAAACGATGCATTAATTTTGCAGAAAAACAACAACAACACTTCACGATCGTTGGTGTTAGTTTTAAATGTCTGTATATTGTTATGTTGGTTTTAGATATCTGCATACTGTTATATTGGATATAAATATCTCTAGAGTGTTATATTGGTTATAAATATCTATCTCTGTATAGTGTTTGAATTTTCAAATTTAGACCCACAATCAATCAGCATTGCTACAATACCTGATATTCCACCATGGACAATTCACCTACCCCAAATAAATTTAGAATTACACAATTATGAAAAATCTCGCACTCTCCCAGTTCAGAGCTCTTTTTCAAGTGTACATCTCAAGATTTCCTTTACACACCATAATGATATTACAAAATGTACCAGTATTCACCGACTGTTCTAAGGTTAATGAGAAAGTTGCTGTAGCATGCGTTGTCGGCAACATGTCTTCTTACTGTCGTTTACCCAATAATGCGTCTATTTTCACAGCTGAAGCAACTGCACTTGGTCTAGCTTTGGATGAAATAGAACAGAATAAAACAAAAAAGCTATTATCTGCTCCGACTCTTTCAGTCTTGGTCACTATTACAAAGAATTAAAAACCGAAACTTCAACAACAATCTTGTACAAAATATTGCCCTTTGTATTAATAGAATTTTGGTTTTCTGACAACTAATCTTGATTTGGATTCCCAGCCATGTCAGAATTAATGGAAATGAAAAAGTAGATAGATCTGCTAAGGCAGCACTTAATTAACCACAATACGAAAGATATTAAAATGCCTTATTCTGATTTAAAAAATTCAATAGCGAATTTATTAAAACAAAACGAATTAGCAAAACAAATGGTCTGAAGAAACAAACAATAAGTTATTTTCAGTTCAACCTAATGAAGGTTCATGTGCAATAGGTAGAGCAGACCTTAGATAGGAGGTTGTCCTCTCGCGACTGCGTATAGACCATACCTACATCACACATAGTTACATTTTACACAAGGAAGACCAACCTTATTGTCATGCATATGATCAACCATTTACAGCCAAACACTTAATGATTGAATGCGCTGATTTCAAACAAATATGTGACAGATTTTACAATGTACCTTTACTACCGTCTACGAAACATTTGTTTTATACAGTTTCTGGTGCAATCAATCTATGATTATTTACATTCGATTAATCTCTATAATAAAATCTGATATATTTCATAAACAATTTATTTGCTATTGATATATTTTGACTATATTGGGTTGTTGGTTGGCACAGTGAATAGCGCACTTGCCTTTCACCATTAAGACCCTGGTGCGCTAACATCTGGGCCAACAAGAGTGATTTATATAACTTGAAATAACTTGTTTCATAATTGTCGTAAAATAAATAAAGTTTACAATTTTAGCTCACCTGGCCCAAAGGGGTCCAGCGTCTGTCTGTCAACTTTTTCTTTTAAATGACTTCTTCTGAAGAACTGAAGGACCTATGGTCATGCTATTTGGCCAGTAGGTACCTGGGATGGAGTGCTATAAAGTTTTCTCATTAAAATGACCTTGACCTACTTTCAAGGTCACAGGGGTCAAATATGTTCAAAATTCAAAAAACAATATCCTAAGAACCATTTGGACTAGAGTCATGATACTTGGGTATGTTATGAAGACAGCAGTGCAAATCTTTTTCTTAATTACAGTAATGAGGTCAAAGGTCAACTTACAGTGCTAGTCAGGGTCAAATGTCAACATGGGTTAAAAGCTTTATCAATCTTCTTATGTTCCATAAGGCCCAGGATCATGATATTTGGCCAGTAGGTACCAGGGATGGAGTGCTATAAAGTGTATTCATTAAAATGTCCCTGACCTTCTTTCAAGGTCACAGGGGTCAAATATATTAAAAACTTCAAACAACAATATCCTAAGAACCATTTGGACTAGAGTCATGATACTTGAGTATGTTATGTAGACCAGCAGTTAAAAGCTTTAAAATTACAATTTCAAATTTCAAACAACAATATCTTGAGAAGCATTTAAGAGATGTTAAAATGTCTTGTGTTCTAGTTACCAAATTTGGTCTGCAGTTACCTATATGTCAGTTTCATGTAACAAAAGAAACAGCTAGGTGAGCGATACAGGCCCTCTAGGCCTCTTGTTTACCTATATACTGTTATATTGGTTAAAGATATCTATATTGTGTTATATTGATTATGAATATTTGGCTGGTGTAATGTTGATTATTAATATTTATATAGTGTTAAACTTTTAAAAAAAAGTCCAGATCTAGTCCTGAAGCATTCTGTTGAAAGCCCTCACAACATCTAGTTTACGATTCATTTGTTTAAGTGTATCTTTGAAATCCTTTTTCTGCTATAACTATTTATAAACTTAATTAGTTTTCTGAATTTTGATTGAATAGGAAAAGAGAAGGTTTGGTGATGTGTTCTGGGGACATCATTTTATAAGTGACTAGCATTATTTTTCTAATATTTTTTTTGTTACAGGCACTTCAAGAATTCAGCAGTCTTTGTCAGGAAAAGGATTTGGAAGACTTAAAAGCTGTTCTCCCATTTTGGCCGAGGATGTATAACAGGGCAGCTCTGGTAAGGGGTGGGGGTTGACTTGTGTGTGTGTGTCACATTATATAGCAGGGCACCTCTGGTAAGAGGTTGGGGATGCCTGACTTTTGTGTGTGTGTGTGTGTGTCACACATTGTATAACAGGGCAGAGGATTTGGAAGACTTAAAAGCTGTTCTCCCATTTTAGCCGAGGATGTATAACAGGGCAGCTCTGGTAAGGGGTGGGGGATGACTTGTGTGTGTGTCACACATTGTGTGTCAGGGCAGTTCTGGTAAGTGGTGGGGAATGACTTGTGTGTGTGTCACACATTATATGACAGGGAAGCTCTGGTAAGCATGTACTAAACTAAAAATGTAGTTGATTGCATTTGTTTAATTTGGCACTAAACCCTGTCCCATGAGTTTTGTTGCCAACTGGAAAATAGGACTATTTTTCTACTTAATTTGAGTGATGAGTTTGATGCATGTTCCATTTGCACAAGTCATTTTTATGAGTGAAAGTTGTGGAAACCTTGACTACAAAAGTCAAAATCAGCTGTTGATAATAGTTTGGTTACAAATAATAAATGCAGTGCGATATCACCATTGTCATATGGTGTCAGATGATTTAGAAGTTTATTTGAGAAACATTTCACCGTATAATTATAGAAAAACACTGTATAAAATACTCATTTATCATTAATCTATATTTTTAAAATTATATTTAAGCCTTTTTCTAGAGATTCAAAAAGTCAGATTGCAATATTTAATCTTTATCAGGATGTAGACCACAGAGTAAGGGAGACAACTCAACATGCAATGACTGCTCTGGCAGGTAAAGCAGGGAAACATCTGGCACCATACTTGCGTAGCCTGATGGGTGCATGGCTCCTGTGTCAGTGTGATACTTACCCCACTGTTTCTGCTGCTGCTACTCAGGCTTTTCAGTCTGCCTTCCCTCCAGCCAAACAGACCGACGTCCTCGTCTACTGCCGTATAGAGATTATACAGGTATTCTATGACCCTCCTGAAGCTGTGGTTTGTTTATTAAATACCAGATTAACATGGCGTCATTGTATAAGTTTATAATTTTGTACTACTGATCACAAGTAATGATTGTTTCACCAAGTGCATTCTTCTCCATACAAATGATACCTGTAATACGCACCAGGTAGAAGCTATGTCAAACTAGAAGGAAGGAGAAGGTTTGTTAAAATTCAAGATTGCAAAAAAATGGTCAACACACAGCATGTTCAGATCTACACAAGTTTATATATTTTATATAACCTTTCCTCTTGTAGTTTTTGACTGACCAACTCCTTAATCAGACAGCCAACACCCTAAGTGACCCCAAGTAAGTTGCTCGTTATCTAATGTGGAGACATACAAATTGTAGATAAAAACATTTCTGATCAATATTTGTCAACTCGTACATAAATTAGAGGAAAATAATATTGATTTTGATTGATTAAAAAGACAGTCAGTCAGATTTCATGGAAGATAAAATGTGATTCCATCTTGTTATAGCTATTTTCCACAGTAAATGTGTTTATGCTTACTGTCATGTTTGCATAATACTTGTACATTAATGTTTCTTGTATGTTTTGTTTTCCTTTAAGGACCACTGATCGTGATGACATGGAAAACAAATACCTTAGAGTGATGACATCATCGCTCTATGGGTTACGAAAATTATTAACCTCTCTTCCAGTCAACCATATAGAGTCATTACAAGAGAGTCTGGAAACTCTTCTGAAGGATTCCAAGTTTTGGAAGTATGGAAAGTCCCCTACTACAAGTGTAAGGCTTTATGTTTATAAATATCAGCGTGTGGTCCATATATTACAGTAGTTGAAAGCTTAATTCTTATGTAGAAAGTGTTCATTATTGCGAAATTACTAAGAGATAGAGGTTGTGATATTGATATTAATTATTGTTTAAATATCATATGCTTCAAATTCTTCTGCAAGTGAATAGTTGGTGGTTTCGGTCCATTTTTGTTGAGACCATAATATAAACATAGTCACAAGTATTTTACAATTAAAAATCCATTTAGAAATAGATGTTTTGTTTTTCAGATAAAAGCAGCTTTGTATTCATTCCTTGCAAGTATCTGCCAAGTACAGCCAGAGTTGTCTGCCCTTTACAGTAGCAAGATGACACCACTGGTTCTACACAACCTGGACGAAAAAGACCCAGTGATTTGTCCCGCTGTGTGGGACGCTACATTGTCTCTCATCAATTATGTGCCAGTCAGTAACAAACAATTTGTAGTTAGTTACTTTTTGTATAAATATGTTTTGGTCAAAATATTTTATTAATGCCACTATAGTTTGCTGTTAACACCTCATTTTGTAATACAGTCAATCTTTAATGTTTCAAACTTTTTGGGGCCAATGGCAGAAAAATTTGATACATTGAGACTCTTGACTCACAAGTGTTGAACTTCAAACATCTTTCAGATCCTATTAAGTTACAGAACACAAGTTGTGTTATACAAGGAACAAAATCAGGACTTTGCCATAAGTTTGACCCATCAAGAAATTCATATCTTTGAAGTTTGCTTTATGAAAGTTTGATTGTACTCAGTTATAGATAGGACAAAGATCCAAAGTACTTTTAGTTTGATTGTACTCAGTTATAGATAGGACAAAGATCAAAAGTACTTTTAGTTTGATTGTACCCAGTTATAGATAGGACAAAGATCCAAAGTACTTTTAGTTTGATTGTACCCAGTTATAGATAGGACAAAGATCCAAAGTACTTTTAGTTTGATTGTACCCAGTTATAGATAGGACAAAGATCCAAAGTACTTTTAGTTTGATTGTACCCAGTTATAGATAGGACAAAGATCCAAAGTACTTTTAGTTTGATTGTACCCAGTTATAGATAGGACAAAGATCCAAAGTACTTTTAGTTTGATTGTACCCAGTTATAGATAGGACAAAGATCCAAAGTACTTTTAGTTTGATTGTACCCAGTTATAGATAGGACAAAGATCCAAAGTACTTTTAGTTTGATTGTACCCAGTTATAGATAGGACAAAGATCCAAAGTACTTTTAGTTTGATTGTACCCAGTTATAGATAGGACAAAGATCCAAAGTACTTTTAGTTTGATTGTACCCAGTTATAGATAGGACAAAGATCCAAAGTACTTTTAGTTTGATTGTACCCAGTTATAGATAGGACAAAGATCCAAAGTACTTTTAGTTTGATTGTACCCAGTTATAGATAGGACAAAGATCCAAAGTACTTTTAGTTTGATTGTACCCAGTTATAGATAGGACAAAGATCCAAAGTACTTTTAGTTTGATTGTACCCAGTTATAGATAGGACAAAGATCCAAAGTACTTTTAGTTTGATTGTACCCAGTTATAGATAGGACAAAGATCCAAAGTACTTTTAGTTTGATTGTACCCAGTTATAGATAGGACAAAGATCCAAAGTACTTTTAGTTTGATTGTACCCAGTTATAGATAGGACAAAGATCCAAAGTACTTTTAGTTTGATTGTACCCAGTTATAGATAGGACAAAGATCCAAAGTACTTTTAGTTTGATTGTACCCAGTTATAGATAGGACAAAGATCCAAAGTACTTTTAGTTTGATTGTACCCAGTTATAGATAGGACAAAGATCCAAAGTACTTTTAGTTTGATTGTACCCAGTTATAGATAGGACAAAGATCCAAAGTACTTTTAGTTTGATTGTACCCAGTTATAGATAGGACAAAGATCCAAAGTACTTTTAGTTTGATTGTACCCAGTTATAGATAGGACAAAGATCCAAAGTACTTTTAGTTTGATTGTACCCAGTTATAGATAGGACAAAGATCCAAAGTACTTTTAGTTTGATTGTACCCAGTTATAGATAGGACAAAGATCCAAAGTACTTTTAGTTTGATTGTACCCAGTTATAGATAGGACAAAGATCCAAAGTACTTTTAGTTTGATTGTACCCAGTTATAGATAGGACAAAGATCCAAAGTACTTTTAGTTTGATTGTACCCAGTTATAGATAGGACAAAGATCCAAAGTACTTTTAGTTTGATTGTACCCAGTTATAGATAGGACAAAGATCCAAAGTACTTTTAGTTTGATTGTACCCAGTTATAGATAGGACAAAGATCCAAAGTACTTTTAGTTTGATTGTACCCAGTTATAGATAGGACAAAGATCCAAAGTACTTTTAGTTTGATTGTACCCAGTTATAGATAGGACAAAGATCCAAAGTACTTTTAGTTTGATTGTACCCAGTTATAGATAGGACAAAGATCCAAAGTACTTTTAGTTTGATTGTACCCAGTTATAGATAGGACAAAGATCCAAAGTACTTTTAGTTTGATTGTACCCAGTTATAGATAGGACAAAGATCCAAAGTACTTTTAGTTTGATTGTACCCAGTTATAGATAGGACAAAGATCCAAAGTACTTTTAGTTTGATTGTACCCAGTTATAGATAGGACAAAGATCCAAAGTACTTTTAGTTTGATTGTACCCAGTTATAGATAGGACAAAGATCCAAAGTACTTTTAGTTTGATTGTACCCAGTTATAGATAGGACAAAGATCCAAAGTACTTTTAGTTTGATTGTACCCAGTTATAGATAGGACAAAGATCCAAAGTACTTTTAGTTTGTGACATAAGAAGAAACATGTTTTGAGAGAAGTTATGGAATTATGTATGAAAGCGATTCTATAGATTTGATCTGTCTGAAACACTTATCCACCCTGCCTTTTAATTTATTCTGAACTTTGTTAGCTGTTTAGAAATATTGTAGATCCTGGCTTCAAACTGACTTTTCCACATTTCAGGAATGTTGGAAATCTGTAAGCGTGGAAAAAGCATTTTGGCCCAAATTGCGTTCAGCCCTTGAAAATGGTTTCTATGGAAACATGACACTGATTGGTCCAAACCTACTACCATTCCTGAGCAAAGTGCCATCAGACCTCCTAGGTGCAGATGGGAGATTTTATACGCAGTTCTTCTCTTATATGACATCAGGGTAAGGCATCTCTCAAATTACATCCGAGTAAGATATATCACAGCATTTAGGTTAATTAGAAGTTTGTATGTTCTGATAAATTCACAACATCAAATCTTTTGATCAAAATTCTGTCATTTTGTGTACAGGTAATTATAGTATGGAGTATACGACTGGTTATCAGTGACATTCTGTTTACAGCCTCGATAAGAACGGTATCCAGAGTAGTCCCAGTGAGTGTGCTGCCCTGGTGAAGGCTTACGTGGAATGTTGTCAGTACGTCACCATCACCTTGGACAATAAACAAGTCTCAAGATCTATTATCATAGAGCAGGTCAGTTGTTTTGTGGTACAAACATTGTAGGTCTATTGTTTCTTAGTGACAATCACATGTTGTTCTGTTATAAAATTATTTTCTAGGTGTTAGCTTTATGTTGTTGTAAAATTATTGACTGTCCATATTTTATAGATGTTTGCTATATGTTTTTTCTACTTAATGTATTCCAACATTTTCCTAAACAACAGGTATTACCAGTAGTTCAGGCATCTCTACTAGACAGCAAGTCAACCCTTCATAGATCACCGCTGTATAGCCTGATAGGCACTGCCTTCTCTAGCCTGGAGTTGTCAGCAGGTGGCATTACAGAGAAGTTTTGGACTGAGCTAGGGGACAGTGTGCTGGAGAGGTTAGCAGGGGTAGGTGTAGAGTCAGACCTAGAGGACAGTAGGTTTGTGGAGCGATGTATACATCTAGTCACTTGTCTTGTGTATCCTAAAACAGGCATCAAAAACAAAACAGAAAAAGTCAGGTTTTCTCTGGGTACAGAACCCGACTCCATAGAGACTGAAGGGGAAAGGACTTCACTGTCAACAGGGGCTGCTAACCTTGTACAGAGGATAACTCTAAAGGCTTTCCAAATGGCGCGGGAGACCCACAGTGTCCGCTGTTTACATCTGTTTGCATCACTGGTTGAGTTAAATGCCTCACAAAACACAATACAGAAAGTGATTGAACAGTGTGAGGGTTGTGTGGCCGACCAGCAATCACACTCCTCCTATTTCGTGTTCAGTGTTTGTATACCTTGGCTTCAGGAAGTGATGTCAACTGAAGGGGCTGACCCCCGTCAACTATTATCTGTGATATGTACATTTATGCCTCTTCTGGAGTCAGACTCAATATCTAAGCTGTTACAACAACTCTGCCAGGTCAGTATACAATATATGTAAACATATCTTATAAAGGTAGGCTAAAACTTTTCTATTTTAGCTTACTTAAAATATTTTCTTATTTTTGTTATTAAATTCATAATGTTTTTGCTAGAAAATCCTTACAAAAATGTTTATGAAAATATTATATTTGGTGTTGAATCTGTTATGAAAGCTTTCATTAAGTATAAGTACCAGTACTGACAAAAACTGTTTTTGATCTTGGGGTGGTCCTTTATTAAGATATTAAATGTTATCATGATTGATGGACTAGACCTGCTCTTTTTCATCTGTAATTGTGTGTTACAGATGGAGCTAAGTTTTGGCGCATTCCACCATCTCCTAGAGAAGACGTTGCCCCTACAAGCCCAGTTACCCAGTGTCAGTGCCTGGCTCAAGGGCCCAACCTTCCACAGCAAAGTTATCATGATAACAACAGAGGTGTGTGAGCGGAGCATGACCCTGGAGATGGCTGATGACTGTGAGATACAGAAAGGCTGGAATGTGATATCCCTAGTACTTGGGGGCCAGACCAGTAAGTATTCAGGTAAATCTCTAAAGGTTATCAGTTATAAAGGTAATCATTTTCAACAGAAGTATCGGATACATTGATAAAGATCATAAGGTGTACTATTAAATGTCAGAAGTCTAGTGGCAAAGGTCACCATATACACTTGTAGAGGTCACTATATACTGCAGAAATAATTAATAGGAACATCATGTACATTAATAACATAGAAATATTCACTAGGTATTAATTCATTAATAAAGCCATTAGAAATCACTAGTTGTAGTGATAAAAGTCATAAGGTCACCAGTAAATATCACACTGTTTGGCAGTAAATGTATGGTAGATAAAACTCCACAGTTAACCTGATCAATGTTAATGTAGATACGATAGATAAAACTCCACTGTTACCCTGATCAACGTTAATGTAGATATAGTAGATAAAACTCCACAGTTAACCTGATAAACGTTAATGCAGATACGGTAGATAAAACTCCACAGTTACACTGATCAACGTTAATGTAGATATGGTAGATATAACTCCACAGTTACCCTGATCAACGTTAATGTAGGTCCGGTAGATAAAACTCCACAGTTACCCTGATAAACAGTAATGTAGATAAGGTACATAAAACTCTACAGTTACCCTGATCAACGTTAATGTAGATATGGGAGATAAAACTCCCCAGTTACCCTGATCAACATTAATGTAGATACGGAAGATAAAACTCCACAGTTAACCTGATCAACGTTAATGTAGATACGGTAGAGAAAACTCCACAGTTACCCTGATCAACGTTGATGTAGATATGGTAGATAAAACTCCACAGCTACCCTGATCAACGTTAATGTAGGTACGGTAGATAAAAATCCACAGTTAACCTGATAAACGTTAATGTATATATGGTAGATAAAACTCCACAGTTACCCTGATCACCGTTAATGTAGATATGGTAGATAAAACTCCACAGTTCCCCTGATCAACATTAATGTAGATACGGTAGATAAAACTCCACAGTTAACCTGATAAACGCTAATGTAGATATGGTAGATAAAACTCCACAGTTCCCCTGATCAACATTAATGTAGATACGGTAGATAAAACTCCACAGTTACCCTGCTCAACAATAATGTAGATATGGTAGATAAAACTCCACAGCTACCCTGATCAACGTTAATGTAGGTACGGTAGATAAAACTCACAGTTAACCTGATAAACGTTAATGTAGATATGGTAGATAAAACTCCACAGTTAACCTGATAAACGTTAATGTATATATGGTAGATAAAACTCCACAGTTACCCTGATAAAACTCCACAGTTATCCTGATCAACATTTATGTAGATAAAACTCCACAGTTACCCTGATCAATGTTAATGTAGATATGGTAGATAAAACTCCACAGTTACCCTGATAAAACTCCACAGTTATCCTGATCAACATTTATGTAGATAAAACTCCACAGTTACCCTGATCATCGTTAATGTAGGTACGGTAGATAAAACTCACAGTTAACCTGATAAACGTTAATGTAGATACGGTAGATAAAACTCTACAGTTACCCTGATCAATGTTAATGTAGATATGGTAGATAAAACTCAACAGTTACCCTGATCAACGTTAATGTAGATACGGAAGATAAAACTCCACAGTTAACCTGATCAACGTTAATGTAGATACGGTAGAGAAAACTCCACAGTTACCCTGATCAACGTTGATGTAGATATGGTAGATAAAACTCCACAGCTACCCTGATCAACGTTAATGTAGGTACGGTAGATAAAAATCCACAGTTAACCTGATAAACGTTAATGTATATATGGTAGATAAAACTCCACAGTTACCCTTACCCTGATCAATGTTAATGTAGATATGGTAGATAAAACTCAACAGTTACCCTGATCAACGTTAATGTAGATACAGTAGATAAAACTCCACAGTTACCCTGATCCACGTTAATGCACATATTGTAGATAAAACTCCACAGTTAACCTGATCAATGTTAATGTAGATACGGTAGATAAAACTCCACAGGTAACCTGATCAACGGTAATGTAGATACGGTAGATAAAACTCTACAGTTACCCTGATCAATGTTAATGTAGATATGGTAGATAAAACTCCACAGCTACCCTGATCAACGTTAATGTAGGTACGGTAGATAAAACTCACAGTTAACCTGATAAACGTTAATGTAGATATGGTAGATAAAAATCCACAGTTACCCTGATCAACGTTAATGTAGGTACGGTAGATAAAACTCACAGTTAACCTGATAAACGTTAATGTAGATATGGTAGATAAAACTCCACAGCTACCCTGATCAACGTTAATGTAGGTACGGTAGATAAAAATCCACAGTTAACCTGATAAACGTTAATGTAGATACGGTAGATAAAACTCCATAGTTAACCTGATCAACATTTATGTAGATACGGTAGATAAAACTCACAGTTACCCTGATCAATGTTAATGTAGGTACGGTAGATAAAACTCCACAGTTAACCTGATCAATGTTAATGTAGATACGATAGATAAAACTCCACTGTTACCCTGATCAACGTTAATGTAGATATAGTAGATAAAACTCCACAGTTAACCTGATAAACGCTAATGTAGATATGGTAGATAAAACTCCACAGTTCCCCTGATCAACATTAATGTAGATACGGTAGATAAAACTCCACAGGTAACCTGATCAACGGTAATGTAGATACGGTAGATAAAACTCTACAGTTACCCTGATCAACGTTAATGTAGATATGGTATATAAAACTCCACAGTTAACCTGATCAATGTTAATGTAGATACGGTAGATAAAACTCCACAGTTACCCTGATCAACATTATTGAGATATGGTAGATAAAACTCCACAGTTACCCTGATCAACGTTAATGTAGGTACGGTAGATAAAACTCCACAGTTAACCTGATAAACGTTAATGTAGATATGGTAGATAAAACTCCACAGTTACCCTGATCAACGTCCGACTGATTACATCATCATTTGCATTAGTGACTTTCTTGTATTTGTCAGCAGGTCAATGTGTTTCTACAGTTGCTTTGTTCAGTCAGATTATTTTCTTCCTTTGTTATCACAGACTGGATGCTGAGCTGTGACCTTGTACAGGAGATTCTCCAGACTGTCCACCAGTCCCTTGTGGCCCTGAAACACAGCAGTGATACACACAAGGCAGACATAGCAATCAAGTTTGTGGCTAAGGCTACTCATAGCTTTTTCCTCAATTCCAAGGTAAATTCCTGACTATAACATGTGATTTGATAACTGTCCAGATCTTTCATAAAATTTTATCTGACTGTAAATAAGAGATATTTTGTGAGGTCTAGTTTGTCAACAAGAAGAGGTCATGAATACAGATATCTCAAATCTTAGCTAGTTTATATTTGAATAAAAGATATATTTATATCAGGGTTACTTTATTTTGTTTTCAAACCATAGTAAATAAGCAACACACTTTTATAAGTTGTTACTTCATTAAGTGTTGATACCAACATAGTACTTCCATAAGTACTTAGGGACCTAAACAAGTGGTTGACATTGTTATGGGATCTTGATTCCTTCATTTAAAATAACTAAATCCATCAACTTATGTTCTATTAAAAGAGTGATGAAGATCTTTGATGTTTTGCTGATACAATATATTGAAATAAAATAATAAGTTGTTGAATTTGATTAATTGCTAATTATCACCTGTATCTGGTCAACATGTGTCTTTACAGAGTTGTCTGTCCTTGCCTTCTGCCACAGACCTCCTTCTGGCTCTGTTTTCAGTGTCCCTTGACAACAATTGGGATGTCACAGGTAAGTACTTTTTGTTTCTATAAATATCTCATTTAAAACAGGTGTGACTTTTATCCTCAAAACAGGGTGTGAGTTTCATTTCCAAAGTTGGACGGTTGTATGTGGATGTATGTTTTACCTTTATACTGGAACGTCATTGTCATCACTCAGGCGATGTCATTTCTCAACACATTCTAATGATTATTCATATAAGTATAATTGTATTAGGTATGACAGTACCTTGAACAATTTAGTGCATCAGGTGATACACTCAACATCACAGTCTCAGTAACTTAGTACAGGGACCAAATGGCTAATGAAAAACCAAATCATAACACGACCTGTAAATGATGGCCATTTAAACAGTTTTCATTTATTATATTTTTGCTGTAGTTTTATTTAAAGTTTGGCTGCTATGAGGGGATCAGTATCTGTAGTAGAGCCTTGTAGTGTTACCTGTAAAGTTTGCCTGCTATGAGGGGATCAGTATCTGTAGTAAAGCCTTGTCAGTGTATTACCTTGTAGTGTTACCTGTAAAGTTAGGCTGCTATGAGGGGATGAGTATCTGTAGTAGAGCCTTGTAGTGTTACCTGTAAAGTTTGCCTGCTATGAGGGGATCAGTATCTGTAGTAAAGCCTTGTCAGTGTATTACCTTGTAGTGTTACCTGTAAAGTT